AGGAATCACTATTTAACACTGCTTTGAGGACTGCAGTCCAATGTAGCATTTAACTTCTGCTGGATACTTCCTAATACTGAAATCTTCCCATAAGAAATTTCCTAAGAGTTAACTGCAGGAAGTTTTTATGACAGGCAAAATTGGAAAAAAAACACCCAGAAAAAAACCCCAACATAGCAGTCCAAAAATGTCTCTCGCAGATATCCTAGCTTCTGTCAGGAAAGGTAATTGTCATGGTTTAACCCCAGCTAGCAAGCAAACCCCAAGCAGCCGCTCACACACTTCCCCACCAGTGGGATGGGGGAGAGAATCAGGAGAGTAAAAGCTAGGAAAACTCATGGGTTAGCATAAAGACAGGTTAATAGAGAAAGCAAAAGCTGCATACACAAGCAAAGCAAAACAAGGAATTAATTCACTCCCACAGACAGGAGGTGTTCAGCCATCTCCAGGAGAGCAAGGCCCATCACACATAACGGTTCCGTGGGAAGACAAATGCCATCACTCCAGATGTTCCCTCTTCCTCCTTCTTTCTCCCACTTTATATACTGATGTCATATGGTATGGAATATCCCTTTGGTCAGTTTGGGTCACCTGTCCCAGCTGTGTCTCCTCCCAATCTCCCACACACCCTCAAACTTCCTTGCCAGTGTGACAGTCTGGAAAGCAGCAAAGGCCTTGGCTCTGTGTGAGCTCTGCTCAGCAACAACTGAAACATCTCTGCATTATCACCCCTGTGCCCTGCACAAATCCTAAACATAGCCCCATACTAGCCACTGTGAAGAAAGTTAACTCTACTTCAGTCCAAACCAGCACAGTAATCCCCCCCACATCCCTCACCACCAAAAAAACCCTTACCATGAATTTGGTGTCACCTTTAGACAGTGTATCTGTGAGAAAATGGACTTTTTCCAGTTGTTCTACAACTTGATGCAGAAGTTTTGACTAGGAACAGTGACAACACAGAAGAAGAAATTATTTCACAACTATCAAGAATACTTTACCTATTTACAGCTCAGGGAAGTACAGGACATCATTATAATCATTATATATATTATTCTATATGAAATCTGACCCAGAGGGGAAAAAAAAGTAATAATACTGAGCTAATAAAGTTACAGTTGTGCGACAAAACCAATTACCACTGATACCCCCGTGCCAGATTTAGTCAGAAGTGACAAATCTAATTGCCCTGTTTGAATTTTCAGCTTTTAAGCAATGAATCTATACAAGCAACAGAAAAACAAAACACTGTCATTAATACTACTTCAGAGTTAGTCCCAAAAGATTGCAAGGGCAGCAGGACGTTCTCCTCTCATCTAAGTGATTATGGCTACATAAAGAGATACATAGTCTACCTTTAATCCCTTCTTTATCTGGCTCAATTATTACAGTCCTACACTGTAAAAACACATGAATTCAAGGGGATGGGGGGAATTTCTGTGATGGGAAGAGAAGGGACAGAAGGATATGAGTAAGTATATTGAATAGTTCTGCCAGAGAAACACAACATAATACATGGACCTGGTAAGTGATTATAACTCCTCAAAATAAACATGGTGACCCTAGAAGTTAATATTGCAGTAACAATAAGATGCAAAAAGCCACAAGTCTGAGACTGCCTATCTTCTGAATATAAACATACCCTTGTGGGTGCAATGCACAGTACTGATTCACAGCAGCTTATAAACACACCTGTTTAGATGATTCAGATGTGAAACTCGGATGGGTTAGAAGAACATCCATATCGCCGCTTGACTCTGCACCTAGGCAAGGAAGAAGCAAAGGAAAATCCACAATGACAACGTATACTGACACTGGTGAATGTCCACCTACCCTCTTCCTATGAAACTGTTTTTTCTGGTAGAAAAGTCAAGCTATTCAAAATATCATATTCAAGATATTTGCAAAAATAAAAAAAAGCGAGAGAAACTTGTTCCTCAATCGAAAATTGATATCCCCCATACCTTAGAAAATACCCAAGAATTTATTGCTGTACTCTGTAGAAATGAGGCACAAATATTGTTCATGTAAAAACAAAGCAAACAATTCTCATGTCACAATAAACTACTCCTTATGGGGGAAGGGTGGAAAAGCAAGGATTTATGTGGGTGTCTCATCACTGAGCTGACTAGTCAAGGTGATACTAACAGCAAATGTTCCAGCATAGACTTTCTCTCCAGAACACCACCACATGTAGTAATGTGTCCTGCTTCTCATCCCAAAATAAATGTAACAAGATCATAGCATTTTAGGGGTTGGAATGGACCTTACAGATCATCTAGTCCCAACCCCCTGCCATGGGCAGGGACACCTCCTCACTAGATGAGATTGCTCAAGGCTTTGTTCAGCCTGGCCTTGAACACCATCCAGGTCAGGGCAGTCACCACATCCCTGGGCAACCTGTGCCAGTGTCTCACCACCCTCAAAGGAAAAGACTTTTTTCTAATATCTAACCTAAACTTCCCCTCCTTCAGTTTGAAACCATTACCCCTTGTCCTGTCACTGCAGTTCCTAACAAAGAGTCCCTGTCTGGCTCCCTTGCAGGCCCTTCAGAGATTGAAAAGTTGCTATGAGGTCTCCACACAACCTTCTCTTCTCCAGGCTGAACAGCCCCAACTCCCTCAGCCTGTCTTCATAGAGGATATGCTCCAGTCCTCTTAGCAACTTCGTGGCCTCCTCTGGACTTGCTCCAACAGTTCCACGTCCTTTTTATGCTGAGGACACCAGAACTGTGTGCAGTATTCCAGGTGGATGTCAGGAGAGCAGAGAAGAGGGGAAGAATCACTTCTTTTGACCTGCTAGCCACACTCCTTTTGATGCAGCCCAGGGTTCCATTGGCAGATCATAGAGTACCAACCTCGTCTAAAACTGCCACAGACTGTAGCAACATAGTTCTGGTCCAGCTTCTTTATCTCTTTCAGCACAATTTCCTATGTAAAAAGACATGGGTTTAGAGGCATCAGTTGTTCACTGGCCACCAGTACCTCACATCCTCCACAAAGACATTCTTACCTGCATTTGCAGCATTTCTTCCCTTGGGATTCTTTTTTCAAAATCTTCGAAATACCTGCGTGTATAAAACTATATGAAAGAGCAGCAGAGATAGCAGGTTAAAATTTTACGAGATTAAATGTATATCAGAGGAAAGAATACAACTTGCATTCCTATAATGTGACTAAAAGCTCCCCACTCTCACCAAAGATCTTAGAAAACATCTCACAAGGCAACAGTAAAAACTCATGACCACAAATTTGACACTACTTAGAAGATGGTTTCATTATTTCCACTGCCTGTGAAGAGCTGGTATGAGGTGGGAGTAATATTCCCATATAACCGATTGGTTAATATTTACATAGCCCTCTGAAAATACGGAAGGTTCTTGGCAAACCTCAGCCCACCAGCAAGCAGAAGGAACAGGCCCCTCATCCACAATCAGAGGTTACCTATGTTGGAAAGAGCTAAATGGAAGCACTCAAGTCATATACAGCTCCTGATATGTTTGCCTTCAGCTGTAAAAATTAGACTGCCAGCGTGCTGCTGGACTCCAGAGACAAAGAGGCCAGGTGAAACACCAGATGGGTTAATTTGGTTCACTCACAGCTTCTTGCAAACACAGCTATAGTTCTTCCAGAACTAGCACACCAAACAGCCACTTGACAAGAAGCATTCAAGCTGATCAATTCTGAGGGACAGGCACACATTCTGCACAGCATTCTCAAGTTCAGACCTGCAAAGGTCTTACCTTGCTCACAGCACATAAAAAAATAGCCCAGGCCACTTTTCATGCAGAATGTCAAGAAACATCACTGCAACCAATGGAGAGATAGGAAGCTGAACAGGAGCCAGCATTGTGCTCAGGTGGCCAAGAAGGCCAAGGGTATGCTGAGGAACAGTGTGGTCCATGGGACCAGGGAAGTGGTTCTTCCCCTGGACTCAGCACTGGTGAAGCCACACCTTGAATCCTGTGCTCAGTTCTGGGCCCCTCAGTTCAGGGACGATACAGACGTGCTGGAGCGGATCCAGAGAAGAGCAATAAGGCTGGTGAAGGGATTTGAGCACAAGTGCCATGAAAAGAGGCTAAGGGAGCTGGGGTTGTTTAGCCTGGAGAAGAGGAAGCTCAGGGGAGACCTTACCGCCCCCTACAACTCCCTGAAAGGAGGCTGGAGTCAGGGGGGGGGTTGGTCTCTTCTCACAGGCAATCAGCAGGAGGACAAGAGGGCACAGACTCAAGCTCTGCCAGGGGAGGTTTAGGTTGGATATTGGGAAGAGACTTTTTACGGAGCGTGAGATCAGGCATTGGAATGTGCTGCCCAGGGAGGCGGTGGATTCACCATCCCTGGAGGTTTTCAAGCTGAGACTGGATGTGGCACTGAGTGCCATGGTCTAGTAACCACAATACGGCTGGGCTTGATCTTGGGGGTCTTTTCCAATCCAGCTGATTCTATGAAATCTATTCTATGAAACCCTGCGAAAGCGATTCTCTACAGGCTAACCAAAGTCATTTGGTATTAACTTGCTTCTGGATGGAGACTAAGCCTTTCAACCCCAATGAAACATAAGCTCTAAATAATTGCTGAAAAGCACGTAGATCACCAAGAGAACAGAGCCTCACTCAGCCTGTGTAACCTTACATTCTGTTGTTCAAAGGAGTCCTTAGAAAAGCCAAGCATTTGTACCCAAGAAAGCTTACTTCAACCCGATTCGCTGGTGATGGGTCAGCTTGTGCTCATTTTTTCTTAGATCTAGAAGAATTAAGGGAAAAACCAAACAAAACAGTTACTTGAGGACTGAAAATCTTAAAGTAAGTTTCTACCAGTGCAAAGATGACACACAAAAAGAATACATAATGAGAATACAACCACCTCAATGGAAGGAATTTTAAACTGACTACACAACAGCTGATAGGATAACTACAAATGCATAGATCACTTCCCGATAAAGACATGCAGAGCCTTATTATTTTTCATGTAACCTGCAAGTACTTCACCCTGGATATGCATGTAACACCTTAAGTGTACTGTGTACTAACTTTAGAATCTAACACATCTTCCTCAAAGCCTAGGGCATAGATGCTATCACATTACCACTGTGGAAGAGGCAGCTTGACAGACAAAAACCTCCACATTACTGGAGTGTGAACTGAAGCCCCAAATTTACACTTACCTTCCAAAGTCTTAATTCCTTCCTCGACAAACTTCCTAGCCGCAGCAGGACTGCAAAGACACAAGTTGATATCAGGAACAGCAAGAATCTTAGAAAACTGAATAGGACATTAAAATTCGCTATACCTGCCTAGGTTCTTAAAGGCCAAGACTGAGCTCGCTTGCAATGCTTACGCATTATATAGCACTGATATAATTATACAGTGATATATAACTTTCAGAAACCAAACTAAATAACCCCAAATAGACCATATTGCTTCAGACAGTAATACCAAATATATAAGAACTACTTTAACCACAATCAGTCTCTAAACCATGTTAATGCAACAGCAACACAGAAAGGTATTTAGACCTGCTCTCAAAAAACCTGACAAGGTTCCAGTTTGCAAGCTACAATCCAGCAAAGCAGTCCCAACAGCAGCACAGCTCCAGAGTTTGCCTTAAGCAAATCATTCAAGTGAATGGACAAATTTTTTCCCTTTTAAGTTGTCATTAGAATACGCTGCGTAATCTGCAGGGAAAAAATGTTTCAAAGATGGGTGTTCAAGTAATGTTATACCTAGATTCCTATCAAATATCTCAAAACACAGAGAACCACCAGCCTGGAAGCATAGTCCCTTCCTGGGATATTATTCTCCCAGATACTCTGAAATCCTAGGGTTACAGCTCCACCACCCTTAAATCCTTTGAATCTACTTCATTGATAAAATCATTAGAATAGAATTGTCCTTTCTTAATCGTGTTCAAGTAATGTTATACCTAGATTCCTATCAAATATCTCAAAACACAGAGAACCACCAGCCTGGAAGCATAGTCCCTTCCTGGGATATTATTCTCCCAGATACTCTGAAATCCTAGGGTTACAGCTCCACCACCCTTAAATCCTTTGAATCTACTTCATTGATAAAATCATTAGAATAGAATTGTCCTTTCTTAATCTTCCCTGCATCTCTTGACAGATTCCAGACCAAGAAAGGCAGCTTCCACTGTTCTGAGAAAGGACAGCACCCAAGCTTCTCCTTCTACATCCCGTCCCAATTTCTCAAAGGCATTCTCAAATCCCATCATAGCCTCAAACTTTGTGCACATTTTCTCAGAATTACCTGAGAATGACTGCATTCCCTATCCTCAACTCAAAGGATTTCAGCATTGCATTGGAGTCCCGATGGGGTTTTTTGTTGCACTGTTTTTGTTTTGTTGCCTGCTTCAAGGCTCAGCTGACTCTTACAAAAACATGACAAAGTACCATTGACTCCCTGGGGCCAGACTCTCACTTCCACTTGTCTCCATCTTTCATGGTTCCATTCTGGACCGGCTCCTTCCTCCTTCCCTTCTCTGCTTGTACATGGGAACTTCCCACATCCACTACGGCACCATAAAGTCTGTATCTGATGACTCTATACCCTTTATTCTCAGACACTTGTGTCATCACGACTAACATGTCTCAGCATGGGCACTACATCATCCACTCAAACTCATTCTTTTCATCATTTGCAATCACCCACATTCTGCTTGTATGTCTATCAAATGAGCAGGAGAAGGAGATAAAACAAACAAACTAATCCCCACAAAAAAATGTTTACCCAATGCCAGTAACTCGTGTCAGAAGATTGATAGATGCACTTGTATCATCTTGTCGAATCTACCAAAACAAAGCAACATGAACCAAATCCTTCTTTACTCCAATTGCAATAAACAAAACAACCTTGAGAAAATAAAACAGCTTAGCCAGACTCTGCTTTGGAGGCTCAGCACAAAACACTGCAAACCAGTACTACAGGTAGCATGATAATGCCACATGTACCGAGCCTGGAAAATGCCTAACGACCCATGCTAAGGTGAAGGGCATGCTGAAAGCATGAAACTCCACAGCATTCCAGAGGGAGAATTCCACTTCTGACTGAAGACACATACTTGCTGATTATATAACTCAAAATATTTTCATAAACAGACTTTGGCTGAGCTTTCCATTCCTTAATTTTTACTTAGCGTAGACTCTATATTCACCATTCTTAAGATGACATTAGTCTCTCCAGGGACAACAACAGAAATTGTGCAAAGCAAGCAAGCTACTTTGCAAGTTACAAAGAAAAGCAACTATCGAAAAACAGAGCATAAGGGAAAGAAACACACCTTTTCCAGTTTGCGTAGTTTTCCAGTGGATAAGAACTCATCTATCTTCTCAGCTATTTTAGCACCTACTCCATCCTAAATATCAGGGGGCAAGAACAAACAAGTTAACTTCAAAATCACTTAAAGCATTGTATCTGGAAAGAAATGAAAGTTCCCTCGAATTCAGAGTCCAGAAAGAACTATGGGACCACAATAAAATATCGGACCATAACGGAACACGGGAACTCAAGGGTACAACACAAGTAGCACAACCAGTGCAATTCAAGGGCTGTGTCAAAAGTTTCCTCAAAGCAATAGCTTTGAACAAGGCTTTGATTCTTACCGCTCGAGATGTCCCAATTAGCACAACAGTAACAGAGCAAAAAAGAAAGAGACTTTCATAGACAGAGACTCAGATGGGTTCCCAGTTCCAGCTCTGAA